TCATTGAATGTTTATGAGTCATCAAAACATCAGAAAGTCTACCCGTTATTAAATATGTTAAATATATTGAAGTATCATTAGCTAAATACACAGCTAGATCCAATCTACGAATGTATGCAGAAAAAAATTTACTCAAAAAATTTATTGCATTTTTTGCAACAGTTACTGATCAACACTACAACCTGTTTCACAGCAGCATTTGCAGATATTTCAAGACATTTGGTTATCTTGTTTTACAAGAAAGCTTTAGAAATACTTTAATAATTGACATAAAACTAACATATTCTTTCCACTTAATGACACTGAGTCATATATTGCAATGATCTCAAACTGGCAGCCCCTGAATACATTTTAGTTCTGTATTTGTTGTAAATGTTGTGCCAAAAGTTTGCAGATTGATAAGGTTACTGAAACAATAATTAAAGCAACAAATTTTATATGCGAATGAGCTCGGAATCATTAAATTTGTTGCATTGCTTGAAGAAACAGAAAGTGAGTAAGTGAGCACAGACAAATTATTTAGTGTAATCAGCTGAGGTAGTAATGTTTAAATGAAATCAAAATTTTCATGTCACAAAAATGAATAAATAAAATAACTGATGAGTTATGTAATGACACATGGATAAGAGATCTAGCATTTCATGTTGCTTTAACCAGGCATGTAAATTTCTCAATAAAGAACTGCAAAGGAAAGAATAAACTTAACATTTGACATGGATACTTGTATTAAACCTTTTAAAGTTAAAACGGAATTATGAGAAACGCAGTTTGAATCAAAATATTTCCTATATCTTAAATCCTGCCCTATCCAAAAATATGCAAGAAACACTGTTATGACAAGAATCTGAAAAATAATAATAATAATAATAATAAAATTTCAATCATTTGTGATCCAATTTTATATTACCAGCATTACAATTTAAACGAAAGTTTTTTAACACACAAAGTTTACAAATGAAGCTAATTACCTAACCAGGATGACACCAATCTTATTCAAGGATTTAAATATACAGATTTGATTTGATTTAATTTAATTCATACTTGTTAAAAGATAAAATTGTTAAAAGATACAATTTATTAAATCTGATACATCAAAATAGACGAATTCTTGCTTAAGTAATTTTACTCTTCCCTGTTAATAAAAATGATTACCTTCATTTATGAATACCTTCATTTACGAATTTTTAAATAAGTATAATCACTTTATATGTGAACAGTGTTTTATGCAGTTAAAAATTAATGAAGTCTGAGAAAAGAATATGACTGATAGTTAAAAATCCAGAATCCGTGATGAAGAGAGTTTCTAGTGCATCTTCTCAGACTCAAATTTTATCAGAACCAAATTGCCATCAGGTGTCCAAATGTTGTAAGAAACAAAGTAAGAAATACGAAGTAAAAAGCAAGTTGTAAGAAGTTTATAATTCTTTACATACAAATATTTTCATTTTTTTCTGCATGTGAAGGGGGGAAATTAATATATAAAAGAAAGGTGTTATTGTTTTTTCTCCTGTTTTGCCACACTTATGTTTCCCCAGTAAATTTTGGAAATTTTTGTAAAATTTGTTAATTTAAGTTGTTTAGTGGTTAATGTAGCATATTAGAAGTGTTTGAAATAAATGCCAGTTTCCTATTTTAGACAGAAAATAAATAAAAATTTATATATATATTTTTTTTCAGTTAGAATTATTATTTATGTTTAGATAAATATCTGTAAGGGTACACGCACCTAAAGAAAATGGAAAAAAGAATTTAACTGAAAGAAAGAAACTCATTTTTTTAGCCTGGAAGATAAGAAAAAGATTACAGGTCTAAGAAATAAAAAGCATGGGAGGGGTGGGGGATTAGAAACTAGAACTGAATATCAATGAAATAAATTTTCAGGTATGCCCTACTCGAGGTAAATTAAATTTTTAAAATATAATTTCAAAACATATTACAAACATACACTATATTTGTCGTACTATAAAAGGGTGATTAAACTATAAAAGGGTGATATGCATACATTAGTTGTGTATATGGTGCAATATAAAAACACACACATATATAAATGCACTCGCATTTTGTTAAAAAAAAAAATGTGGCCTACAAGCTACCTTTAGATTGTGCATTCGACCCACATGCAATTTGAGTTTGAGAGCACTGATATATTTACAAAGTTTTAATATTCTTCAGATTATTACAAGAAAAATAATCTGAAGGATTTTATTACAAGAAAAATAAAATTTTAGAGAAGTTACTTCAATCATTTTGCAGAAAAGATTATAAATGTTTTCCTCCATAATATTTTAATCACAGAATAAATTCAAACACTCTGGAAGTGATTATAAAAGGGTGGGAAAAAAATCACATTTTGCATGAATTGATTTAGTACATGCTTTTTACAGGTTTTTTTCACACATCATCTAATCAATACATGATCATTATTATCACAATTTAATATAAAAAAGACAAGAAGTTCTAAATATTAATAACCATGTTTGAAAACAATAAAGTTACAGCAAAAATATACATCAACTGCTAATAAAATATGTACTCTCACCATACAGATTTAGTATGGTACTTAATTAATCAACATTGTTGACATAAATTTAATAACACAGAAATATTAAGAAACGTAAATTCTTTGATTTAACACTATATGTAAATTGCTTGACATGTCACATTTACAGCTTACACAGCAAATAAATCTTCATACCCTAAAACTGTTCAAAAACTGAATTTATACCACTATTTTCTAATATAACATAATTATGAATTTAGGTACATGAAATTTAAGGTTCAACTATCTAACAAAGCATGTTAGACATTGCATTTAATATATACAGTTAACCTTGGATGTCATTATAAGGGTCGAAGCTCTTATCATTCTTAAAATGCAACAGACTGGATCATCCAGAAAGACATACAATTTTCCAAATCACAAGATACTTCCTTCTAATTATTTGGTTACTGCTGATAAGAAGTGACCTTTACCAAAGCGGATTCTTAAATACAGTCTTTTCTGCTTGCTTAGCATATACTGTGGCATAATATTTTTCAGTACATTGCTAGGAATAGAGAAAGTAAAAGTTTATATTTGTCACTGCAAGCTCTTATATAATAAAAAAAGAAAGAAATATCAGTCAGATTTCTCCTAAAATTTGCGCTGTATATGAAAAAAGTGTGGTTTTTGAAATAGTTCAAAGGTGGTTCGATAAGCATGGAAGTGTCAACCTCAAAGATAATGCATGCACTGGATGACTATACTCTGTAAACAAGGACTTATTACAAGAAGCTACAAGTAAAAATCCACATTATACAGTTAAGAAACTATCAGACAGACTGAGTTAAGTATTAATCATATGAAGAAGATTGGGTATGAAGGTCACTGCAATGTATAGGTAACCATACTTTAATAGGAGCAAAATATGCTTGCTCGAGTTTTGGCATGTGATTCTTTCCTACTGATAGAAAAAAAAAATTATGGAAGATAATCAAACAAGAAAGATAGTCAAAAAAGATAATGAAAAAGTCCCTTTTTTATAACACCTCATTACTGGTGAAGTGGATAATATACAATAATGTTACAAGAAAAAGAACCTTCTTTAATGGCATCGAAAGAGGGCTGCATACCCAAAAAAAGTAATGCTTTGTGTATGATGGGACTACAAGGAATAGCATACTATGAATAAGTGCTACCAAGTCACACAATAACTTCTTCAAAAAAATCTTCAAATGGCAGTTTTAAAACCAGAAATCGATAAAAATGCCCAGAACTGACCAATTGTTAAGGTGCCTTGCATAATGACAATCCATGGCTCTAAATTTCGATGAACTTATTGAGCATGACTGGGATATTCTGTATCACTTCCATATTCAATACACTTTGCCTTCATGGATTTCCTCTTTTCATGTCATTTCAAAATTCTCTCTGAAGGGCCTGCGTGTCACTTCTTTTCAGACTGTCAAACAGCACCTCAGTAATTTCTTTACACATAAAAACCTAATGACTTCCTGACATAGAGATGACAAAAAAAATCATAGAATGAAACATTGTTTATGTGACTCAATGAAATTTTATGCTTTAGTACTGCTTCATTTACATTTATCATCAAAAAAATGCAGAACTTTCTGAATGATCCTCTATATTTCTACATCCCAAAAAAATTATAACTGTTAACTGTTCCTTCCAATTAAAACCCTTGCCAATTCCATAATAGTCAATTTAAACAAACTCTACCAATTATATATAATAAACATTATTTGTTTGTTATTAAATAAGCTAGAGGAAAGAAAATGTTCTTAAGAAATCATAAGGAAGAGTAAAAACAATACTGTGGTGTACTTACTAACATCAAATGTTTTTTGTTTGCAAGATGAGTCATTTGTCTATTCCCGTACTGATATTTTCTTAGCTACAAAATATGTATTTCTAACACTACATATCAAAAATAAAATTTTATAACAGATGCATACATATTTTAGAGTAGCAAATCATAAAAATGGATTATTACCTTTATATTTTATGCATTCATAATATTTCTGAGTTATTTAATTCATGTAAATATTTTTTGAAACTTTCATAAACCTTCTTAATACAATTATGTGGTAAGAAACATTTTGCATAAAAATGCAATCATGTAGTTCATATTTACATCATTCAAGAGTTAACAGTATTATGAATTCTTCTTGAGGGCTACCATGTATAGTCATTCAAGATATTTCTTCAGGTTTTCAAGAATCTCAGTTGTTTATTTAAAAATATTCATCCTTAAAAAACTGCACCCCAATTTTAAAAATAAAATTTATAACACTAAAGGAAAATTAAGGAGTACAGAATCCCACTGTCTTTTACTATCAACAGAGTGCAAGAAAAAACAAAAATCTATACTTACTTCACCATCATTATGCTTTGTTTTCAAACATTTAAATTCCCTCTCATTGCATACCTTAATTTAATTTATCATGCAAAAATGAGACTGTTATACATAATAAAATACACACAGAAAAAATAAAACATTCAGAATGCTTAAGGTGTGCTTATATGAATATAAAAACCTATTCTTTTATTTTATAGGTTTATGAAATAACATATATTATGGTCAAAATAACTGTAAATATGTATTAAATCAAACGCATTCTATTACAATCTAATCATTTAAAATTAGGTTTAATATTACACATAGCTTAAACTACAATAAAATGTCTTCAGACTATTCTTTCAAAAACGATATAATACAGATACATATATTTTAGGCTTAAATTTTATTAGTTTTTAAATAATTAATGAATTTCACAATGAAGAATTTTTTTAATAAAATTTTTCATTAAATGCAGGTATTTTTATTGTAAATTAATATTATAACAGCTTTAATATAACTGATAATACTTACTAGCATACAATTATTCATGGCTTTCTCTATTTGTACAAGCATTATGGAAATAAACTGCAAAGTGTAAAGTAGAATTATATACACTGTACATCCAAAAATATTCTGCTTCTACAATTTTTACATATTTTACACTAATTTTCTGATAAAGAAAAAGACATTTTACTGGATTTATATGTATTTATAACTATTCAGATGCAAATTCTGCATATTATACTTATTATTTAGGTTATAAATAATATTTTATTAGTTATTCTATTCATGTGCAAAAGAATTATGAAACATTTAAATCTTTTTTATTATTTAACACAGAAATCTACAAAATGTGCCTGTTCACAAGTTTACCAGTTAAGAATTAAGGGAATAAAAAAATATATATTGCACTGCAAAACTACTAAACATAATCACAGTTTAGAAATAGTACAGATAATTTTTTCGAAAATAATAGTTTTGGTAAAACTAAATCAAGTAAGGAATAATATAAGAGAAAATAAACCAAATATCACACACAAACTTTGCATTACCACTAATAAAATAATTTCTTTTTCTCATTCAAAATGCACTTAAATTTAAAAACACAGATGATTTATGCCTTTGCTACTAGCTAAGTTACATGTTATGCAAAGAAAGTTTCTTTCAAGAATTATTTCTTTAACATAGTTTATAGCACAACATACATATCTCAGTTAGCTATTAAAATATAAATATTGTACTCTTCATTTTGTTTATGAGCTTTAAACATAAACTTGAGTTATAGTTAACATTAAAAAAATAGTGGAACCATAAATACAACCATGAAAAGTTTAAATGCATACTTTAATTACCTAAAAATGTCAAGAAATTTGTTAGAATATGTATAAGAAAGTTAAAATATATCATGTATGAAAACTATAACTATTTTATAGTTTAGTTCATATTACAAACTATCACACTACAATGTATATCACTTTTCATCAAAAAAAGTTATTAAGAATGTTTGGCATTCAAGTGCATCATGAATATATATGTATTAGACAACCATAGGATACTGCTCCAGTATTAGCTCAAATACATATCTTCTCATACTGCTTTAAAATCACAGAATTTTCTTGTAAATCATAAAATAACAGTGCTTCTCAACCAATAAAACTGGAATCCTATCAAAATAAATAAGAGCTTATATAAAAATATCCAACAATAAATCAGATTTTTACTTCTCCAGTTCTTATTTACAACAAGAGCATGCATGCACAATTTACCAAGATGTGTACATTTAAACATACCAAAAGATAAGTAAAACTTGAAAAAACGTTTCCATTACAATTTACAATGGAACTTGCATAAATAGCTTTTATAAGCATTTTAGAAAAATTATCTGTTAGTGTAAAATAGCAAACTGAAATTTAAAAACAAAATTAAATACAAATAACAGAATATAACATTTTAAAATGCTCGAATTATTTAGCTTTAAAAATATTATTTTCTAATGGAGGAGGGGGAAGTCTTTTAAACATTCAGTTTGAAATAAACATTAGAAGATCTTTAGCAAACTGAAAAGCTGAACATGTTCTAAAATTACATCTAATGCAAATATTGAAAACAAAAACAAATAAACAAAAAATTAAGTACTTCTTTAATATTATTCTAAACAAAATATCCTCTTCTTTTACATATTCAAAAAATAAAATCCTTAAATAAGACAATGAAAATTTGTCTATTCTCTTTATTAGTCTAGAGCCAGTTCAATATAAGCTTTATAAAATTTGTTCATTAAAAGTATCTAATCTTATTACCCAGGAATTTTGCACTTTTCAAATACACACATTGAGAAAGAATGGAAGAAAATCAAATCATTAAAAATGCAGATATAATTTTCCAACTGCAAATGCACAGCACAATTTTAAAATGAAATTCAAATAAAATCACAGAAGTTATGAACGGTTGTGAAATACTGCCCAGAATAATAATTTTGAATAAAACAAGCATACAAAAATATAATTTGTACTATATTAAAAAAAAGGAACTATATACAATGAAATTAATCAATAAACATGAAACAGGCTTCAATTGCATCTTTTTAAAGCTAAGGAGGAATGTAAAAAATTTTAAAGCATAATACTAATAATACATAAAACAATTTCTAACAGTTTCAAAAACAGATGACTACAAATGCGAAAAATAATTAACTAGGAGATTGTAATAACTTCAAAGTACAGGAAGCAATGATTTCTCACAGAAGTAACAAAATATTCAAAATTAGAAACAATGCATTTTACCAACTTTTAATAAAAATTAGCATAACTGTTTTTTTAATGGAAAAAAGTGCAACAAATTAAAAAAAGTTTTGAACTAAAGCAGAAGAATTATAGTAAAATGTGAACAACAAACAGATTTCCCCAAGAACACAAAATGAATTCATTCCTTAACTAGCAATCAAGCATACATCAATATTTGACCATTCATATTCATTCAAGCCATGAATGAATGAAATGTACTTCAAATTTGTACTTATTTATTTTATACTCCTAAAGAGAAATAATTATTACAGATAAAATTTAATTATTTGTTTTATTCAATGTTATCTTTTTCAAATTTTACATATGTTTTTCTGTTAATAGAGCACAACTTAGAACCAAACATAAACATAATGTAAACATAAATGTACAGTACTGCTATACATATCTGTAAATATTTAATTCATTTTTACTGCATTGTTGTAATATTGTAAAATGATTTATTTATTTATGTTCTGCTTTTAGGGTCTATTTTGCATTTGCAGTCAATGTTATATATATATATATATATATATATGCTTGTTACTTTTATGGACTTGCTGATCTTTCAGTTCACGGTAAACTTACGATCCTGGCATACATCTTTATGTAATAAAATAGAACAACTAGTTTTTCTTCTTCTATTTAATGTACATCAACTTAAAAAAAAAGGGGGGGGAAGAAAGAAAGAAAAGAAAAGAATAAAGGCTGTTTTACTTGACCCATTACCAAAACTCAACTTTCATTTCTCAATCTCAAAAGCACAACTTAGATATATATATTAGATTTATAACTAGTATTGTTTTAAGATGCAAATTTTAACACAGAAATCAGACTTTTTCTGAAATAACATTCTTATGTGTTTTTTTTCTTCCATATTTTGATTCAAAGGCTCAAATTATGTCTGAATATTGTATGAGAAACTTCCGAAGCAATTCAAAATGTAGTTTGGCACCCCTTTTTTCCTTTCTGCCAAGATTAAGTCACTTGGCAAATTTCTCAATTTATCATACAAGTAGGCAAAGCAATAATCTGGTGTTTCACATAGATTTTAACCAAGACTCTACTGATTTGAGGGTGAACAGGCACAGAAATCACCCTTGAAATCAACAGAATATTGTTTAAAATCTATGCCCGAAACAAGATTACTACATTATCTAAAGGTATGTTTTACTTTGCTATGTTTCTCTTTTGTCAGTTTACGTTAACCTTTCTACTTTGCCTTTTATCCTGTATGTGCAGAAAAAATTTTCTCATTTCTTCTTTCTTGGAAATATTTTTATGTTTATGTTACATTTTTAAATCAAAATGTTATCTTTAGATTTTTTTCCTGTTTAAAGAATTTTATTTTAATTAGAGTTGCGTGGTTGAATTATAATGATTCAAATAGTCTTTTTAAAAATTTCTATTCATTCATTTGCATTGTATACTTTTAAGTTTGTTTATTCATATAAATGAAATTTTTATTTGATTTTACACATGTTAACAGCATTTCTTTCAAAAGAATTCTTTCTGGTCCAGTTTTAAGTCACAATGCTCCTGAAAACTTCATTCTGCATTGAAAGAGAAATTACTGTAAAGCATGGGTAACACATCTTTCAATGGAAAATACATACAAGTATACAACAGTACATATTTTATACGTATCACAGAGAAAAAGGAAAAAAAATTACTACATTCTAGTAAATTTTTGCCACAGTTAATAATTTCTGTAGCAAAAAATAGCATGTTTCATTTACAATATTTTTGGTCTATTGCTCAAGTATTTAGAAATAAAATATGTCTGTGATACAAGAAATTTCATCATGCATAAAATGAAGGTAAGTAAAATTGCTGATCATAAAATGGCAAAGGTAAAAATTTACTCTTTCTCTGTTTTGATACACCTGGGTGCCTAGGTTGATGTCTTATCCCAAATCCAACATAATTGAAAGTTTTGAAATATTTTACAAAGTAACTTATTTGAGATATAGTATTTTTTAAATTTAAATTTTGAAAAAATTCATGCACTATAAATTCAAGCCTCAAAGCTATCTAACTGAATCTACGTTACCAAGGTAATTTTGAATCAACAGGTCTTAGTGGTGAACAAATGCATACAATACACACAAATATTTACTACTAAACATTTATCTACTAAACGTTCTGTATTCACTACTAAAATATTATGTGTTTAGTAGTGAGTAAAAGTTGCCGATAGGCAGTGCTGCTAGCGAGTTTTTTTTTCTCGATCTACATATCATTATTGAGTACTTTTTTTGTCCTGTGTAATTGCTGTAACAGAGCTTAGAGCAATGTGATTGAGAATTTAAAATGTTTAGAGGCCTTGATAACTACGAAATGGTTAATAAATGAATGATAAAATAAATATATTGTGATGATAATCTTTGTTGTTAAAACCAAAGTCAACCAGCTCCTGAATACAGTTCACCGAATAACATGACAAAGCAAATACAAAAATTCAGACTTCATGATTACATTTGTATTGAGAAGGAACATTGGCCTTTTTTTATTAGTATTGTTCTTATAATCATAATTATAAATTCTGATTTCAGAGTTACTTATAGTATGTAAACGAACATGAAACTGTCTGGCCAGATGAAAGTAAAAACTTCAGCGGAATTATGCCTAGTTCCGCATGAATTGCATTGTTTCTAATATAGTACGGTGTGTTTGTAATTAGCCGCAAAACAACATTCTGGGCAGTTTGCAGATTTTTACGTAGAGTTTTACATGACTACGCCCAGACTACACAAGCATAACAGAGGATGGAATGCAAAATAGATTTACAAATGAGTAACTTATTATCTATACACAGAATGCTGTATTGGGCAATTAAGGGGTTGAAAGTTTAGCTTTACGAATCTGAAACTTCTGAATAATAGAGGGATATGTGGGGAGCATGTAAGAGAATTTGTGAGAATCACCCCAAGATAAGTGACTTGCTTAGCCCAGGGCAGTGAGGTTCCACAAAACTGCAGGTTCTGTTCAACTTTTCTCTTCTTAGTGAAGACTATCGCATAAAAAATTTACTTTTGCTAAAAAGAGAGGAAAAAAATTTTAACTTTTGATTAATATTCTTTATCCATTTATTTAAAAAACAGCTTTTTATGTAAAAAATAACTTCTACATATAAAATATAATATATTATATCATAATAAAAAAAAATAAAGAAATTTATAACCATAATCCCAGCAACGTTATTGAAATTTAAGTTAAAAATAACTATGCAGTCATGAGATGCAACAAGTGCATAAACCAATTTGGCAATACAATCACATAATAAATATATAATTGTAAACGTATCAACATATAAATCACTTTAGAAACTTTGAATAAAAAATTCTAATTTCTTGCAAGTAACTTAGAAACATCTATTTTGCTTTAAGAAAATGATATTTATAGTTATAATTAATTTTTTTTTTTTTTTTTTTTTTTTTTACTTTAAAAATATTAAGGTGAAATTATAAAAGAAATCAGGAAAAAAGTATGAAAGTTATTGGATTAAATCTAAATTTCAAATTATGAAAGGAGAAATTAAGTTTAATTTAAAAATTGATAATGACAGAAATGAATTTGAATGATTGATGAATGATTAATGAAATTGATAAAAACAGAAATATGTTAAAAAAATGCCATGTTATTTCAGAAAATCCTATTCTGTAAAGATACATAATATGCTATATCTTAAGTCATGTTTTCAAGACTTGAAAAATGCAAGTTGAATAGCAAGTTCAATTTATTACACCCTTAACCCAATACCAACAAACAATTAAAAATGATCTTATTCTCATTACAGTAATCCCATAGTACAAAGAATACAAACTGGTCAAATCTCAACATATGCTTTTAGGAAGTTTTCTAGTTTCATACATATAATATTTTACTTGTAATTCTTAAACTTCATATAAAGCAAATGGCAGTTTCAGCTGCATATTATACATATGATACAAAGAGTTATCTACTGAATGATACTAAACCATTGCTTCCAAAACCATATAAAAATAAACTGAAGTCACCAGTATCATAGGAGAAAAGGAAATAAATAAAGTCTTTTCTAAAAATTTATCTAATGTGAAGATAGTGCAATGGGCTATGGCACGTTTCCAGCAATTTGATGTAGTTTGGTTCTAAAACAAAAAAGATGCGTTAGTTATTACAGATACAAATGTAACAAGAAATAAAATGCTGGAAAACTAGTGGCAGATTTTGTACTTATAAAAAAAGTACATATATCAAAAAAAAATTTTAATTTTTGCATAAAAGATTAAAAAAATAAAGTATCTGTTACATGCAATTAAGCATAATACTTCCTTTATATGTTAATATAACTATTATCATAGTGAATCTAAAGCTAATTGCATCAACAATAAATCCAATATGCTTAAGCCAGATACTCCCATTAAGGTCTTGATCAAACACAACAGCTGAGGATTGAAATTTGATTGAATTTCATTAGATACACTGGAAACATTTTAGCTATTGTTAATTAAAACATAAAATAATAATATTTTTATTTAATAAATATGTGGATAAGCAATATGATAGGATCAAAACTACTATCTTTTTACCAAATAATGTACTTATACCTTTACCGGCTAAAAAAGTTTTAAAAAAACTCAATCAGTAAATGGTGCAAAATAAATCAATCATACCTGATTTACAAACATCTATAATAATTAAGAATAATTATAATGATAAATCTTATTTACCATAGAAGAAAATTCAGAAGGAAACAAGTGTTAAATGCTTCAAATGATTAACTCACAAACACTAACTCTGACAAATCCACTGCATGAGGAACAGTCCAAAGGAATTACTAAATGCAGTCATATACAAGATTGATAATTCAGCAAAAATTATCAATTTGATTTTTTCAAAAAAGACTGATTACATGGCAAAATTTTCAAAATGTTTTTAACACATAAGATATAGAAATATTAAGTTTCTCCTTTTGACAATTTACTCTATTTAACTAACAAGCTGGTTATTAGTTTGCATCTTTACCATCACTTGTCATTTAGTCATGCAGCTCGTTCCTTCCAGGAAGTTATGTAGACTTTTACAAGAGAAGTGTAGAATATAGATAGATTTTATTTTTAACTGTAGTTGTTGTCTGAAATCTGTGCTTAGATGCACCTGTGTGACCGAGAACAATGAAGCTGCAGAGAATTAACTATTGGTGAATTTTGCTGTTACTCCTGGCCAGTACAGATGATTCCATGGAGTAACTGCCTAAAATGATAAGTTGCAGTTGAAAGTTTAATGTGTTAATATTCAATAAAGAATTAGAGTTCCTTGTGCAGAAAAAAAATTAATTATGAATGACTCGATATCTAAATTTTATCCCGAAACCCACGCACAGTCAAATAGACTGTTATCTGTACAACAATTTTGTGTTAAAATCTGAAGTATAGACTTATTAAAATGTAAACTGAATATTATTGTGTTTTTGTCTGCATGAACTATGGCATTTCATTCCCATCATTATAACCTGTGGATGGGATTTGTTGGCACTTAAAATTAAAATCCACAAAGCTAACTGTAAGGTTACAGCTCAAACACTTTCAAATTTTACATAGGTGTCATATTCTCAGAAACCACAGCTTCAAAAACTATCTTAGTCATAATCAATCTTAATTTCGCTAAGATCACACCTATTTAAGAAAAATTAATTCTATAAAAATGCTAGTGCAAACTAACCTCAATTTATTAATCACTGTGAATTAAACATTCACAACAACACTAATAAAGCACTAAAAAGCTATTGTAAGATAATTCCACTGCATGTTTATACATTAACTAACAAACAAAAACTTTCAATTCATTATTATATACATTTCATTGCTAAAAAACTCTGTTAATTTTTATCCTCCCTTCCTTAAAGATGAAAGCTATGTCTTTTTAAATATCCTGTCCCAGATGACCAAAATATCTATTTCTGCACACTTCTCATCAAAATACTTTTAAGTTATGATGAAAATGGTAAAATGACTTAAAAAGCTAAAAATAAAATAGACAAAGAACAACAGATTCAAAGTTCTAAATCTCTAAAATTATAGCAGAATGCTTCATATCAAGATACACATCATGCAAGGTATAAAGGAATTAAATTTTCAGACTTTACAAAAAATCAGAATTTCAAAATAAAACAAAGACGACCTGTACACCATATATTACATAATGTTTCACCTTTAAAATGTTCTGCTTGAGAACTTGTTTTATGCAGAGGTTATGTAAAATAATTGAAACAACTAAATTGAAGGACTTTATGATATAAAAGCACCTACGAAACCCAAAAATGCTTGAATTCTTGAAGTGGAGGCATACAAATTCTGTATAATGGTAATTGGCATTTTATAATTTTCTTCTGTCAGAAACTGCTTCAATTTTTCAAGAGATGTTAGTGGAAAAAAAAAGATCTAACTCTGTTTTCTAACACAGACAATTATGCTTCAGTAATACTTAAGTGTGGTAAATCTGCAGGATTTGGTAGATGAGTAATTCCATATTCTTTAAACCATGTCTGATTGACCTGACATCAGAGAATGGGGGTATTGTAATTTTCAAAAATGCAATTATAATTTGAAAGATGTTCCAAGAGACGAAGTCTGTACAATTTAAGGGCTACGGCTGCTTAATAATGGTTACATAATCTCTGTATTCATTCTTCATTTTAAGGTAATAACTGAACTGTCTCCAAAGCACAATACAATGTACCAAACTGTCACTAAATCACAAACATATTTTCGCACAAGAAACAGACAGTCTGACTAGTAAGTTTCTGCTGGTTTTCTATACCAAAATCCATGAGGTAGGGAACAGAGTAAAGATAAACTTGCCAGAAAACATTAGTTTCTTGATCAACATTTCACATTTTATATTCCTGACAACACTGTAATCTCAACTTTGCATTTATTTGCAAAACATAAAGTGTTAGAAATATTCAAATAATCTGCTTGTGCAGTTTTCTCTGTATATCAAAACTGGATTCTACAAATGCACATTAAGCATAGCAGTCATTTCTTTTGTAGTACAATTTTTTTTTTTTTTTTTTTTTTTTTTTTTTTTTTTTATGTAAGCATATTTTTTAAATCTCTGTCAGGAAGTTTAATTTAAGAGATAAAGGAAAATTATAAATAATATAAAAAAAGTTATAAGGGGGAAAATCCTGGGGTGCTGATTTTAAGGCACGTAGGAGGAATGGGGGACTACTAAAGCAATTAAAACTTAAAGTCTGTTGTGGGAAACAATTTTTTTCTCAATCACCTCAAAACAATATAAAATGCTATTAGTGGAATCATTCAGTGATCAGTCAATGCTCTTCCCAGGAAACAGATCCAAATAACAGCAGCACAGGCCAAAATATGCTTTGAACTGTGCTGTTCAAATATTATTTTCACCTTTGTGGATGTTTTGACTTTTATGCCACAAACAGTATGATCCTTAAAGACACTGAGACAATAGTGACAGAACAATGACCAATCTTATAACTAATGGTGCTATGAGACAGTCTCAGCAAAATGAGCTAATGTTGAGTCTCTTACAAATGTCTAGCTCAGAGTTTCTGTGGTCACGATCTGCAGCAGTGGGTTACCAAGAATTTTAGCAGTTTTGATATTGTTTTGACTTATTATAATAATTTTACAATTACCAAATATTTTTACACAAAATATCTGAAAATAGATAAAGATAAGATAATAGAGACAAAGGAAAAAATTAAAACATTTTAACGCATTCTTTTTATAATATAAACATTCTTTTACTTGCTTTGCACATGACGCTGTCATTTCATCTGTTACTTATTTAAAATTTAAACATTGCTCTATGTCTTGAAAAAGTTAATGACCTACTAAAACTGCAATAGTATATTAGAGTACAAGTGAAAAAATTGACAGTTTTACTGATGAATGTGTTGGATTTTCTCAATGCTTATGGTGTCCCACAAAATTTTTTTAAATATTATGGGGTCCTGAGGTCACAAAAAAAATCAGTGATGAAACGAGGTCACGAGCGAAAAAAGTTAAAAAGCCTTGGTCTAGCATAACAGTAAACGAGGACAATATTTCAGTGCAAAACCCCTCTACATACCCCTAAAAAAATATTTTCATTATTTTTACTGCACTCATTTTTCTTAGTCTTTCTCATTTTAAGGATTTCACGAAATCAGAGTTTTATTGCTTCTACTTGGATCAGACTACTAACTATATATCTAACACCCATTCATGAAGATTATAAAAGTCTTTCTGGGGAAATTACACTACATTAGATATATTTCAATTGAAAGACCTCCAGGATCCATTTCACTAATGATGCAAAATGTTAAGACAAATGCATAAGGGCATAAGTACACCGTTAAAAAAAATTACAAATCAGATTTTATGCTAGTAAGTTTTTTAAAATTTAGTTCACCTTATTTGGTCTCATCTCTCTTTTATTATTATTATTATTAGTCAAGTACACACATTTATTAGAATAAAAAACTTCAACTGAATGGCTAACTTATCTCAAACTTACCTTCATCACAGTTTAAATAACCATGTCTCACTAAAAAGTCCAAAGTGACTAGAGAGCTAGTAAGTTTAAAATCATCAGTGACAATAACTTTCTTCAGCTGAATGAAGGAGGAAGAGAAGGGAAGGCTATTACATGTTTATAAGAAACATAAAATAATTCAATAGTTAAGAAAAAGTAATAAAAAACAGTAAATTTACATTAATTCCGGTTATTTCTTACTTCTTCTATAGAATATAAATGAAAGCTTTCAACTTCATTATCACTATTGATGGGCACAAAGTCCACAGGGAGTTCAATATCGAAAACAAACAAAGTTTCTGGAAATATGCCTCTATCATCTTCAAACATGAACCTAAGAAGAAAGAAATAATAATAAAATCAAGAATGGTTAAGAAAGAAATAGCATATGAATATTAGCTGCTTACATTTTAAGATTACAAAGAGTGTTAAATATTTACAGCATGAAGAAGGAATGCATGGACATATTTATTTAATACTCACACAATATCATATTAAAACAATTAATATTTTTTTAATTCTATTCATTTACTACAATATATTTTTATTCCAAATATTCTGTAAAAATTACATGTAACACAGCACTAATTCTAAAACTGACAACTTATTTTACATGCAAGCAATGCTTTTATGATATCGTTCAAAGTCATAGAATTTTTTTTTTAAATTTATTTTTACATCTTTGTGCATTAGTAAATTTAGTTTTTCACCATTACATATTGGGAGAGAGGAGATACCAGTATTGTGAGAAATTCACGTACTATACAGAATACTATGGCATTTTATATAATATTTGTCTGTCTAGAATATATGTCAAAAATGTCTAGAATATATCTGAAACTAAACTTTTTAGAATGTTTAATGTTTTGACTATTTTGAGACACATAATTTATTTTGAAATTACTTCACCACAGAATTTTGTATTTAGTATATTCTAGCTAATCTGCATTAGAACTGAAGAAGCAATGTATAACGTAGAACATAACACAGCTAGAACCTCTTATTAAACTGGAATTTGTCAAACTTAATAAAAAACAGAGGTGAAGAAATTTTAGAAATAATACTCCTTTATTAACTCAAATGTCTTATTAAGAAGAACCTAAAAACCTTCACAATATGTCAAATTCTGACAAAAAGTTTAATAATTCTTCAATTTAACAAGCAGCATTGTTATTTTATTTTATTCATAGTAATACAAATACAAAAAATATAAACAAATATTACAAACACAAATGTATTTCATGTTTCATTGCCATATTTGTTTATATTTTGTTGTTCCAATCAATTTTATAAGCAAATCATGATTTTTTTTAATTCGATTTTAAAATTATACTCTTGTGGGGTTTGCCTGAAATGAAATGCACTCCATACCAGCATGCCAGATGCTGGACCCATATAATGATGATGAATGCAAGCTGGCAGCATTTGTTCTCCTCAATGCTTTCACACACGTACATGCCCATTATGATGCTGTACACAGAGCTGGGATTTGCCTGAAAAGACAATGCAGTGTACACTCCTGTGTTCAGTGTCATTGTTCATCATACTATCTGAAATACCTGTTTCTGCTGCAGCATCAAGGGTGTTACATATATGTGGCAACACACTAGTTGCTTGTTGAACTGAAGTCAAAGAATGTCTACAATACATATTCTTTGCTGAAGTGAAGTAATCACCAGTTGATGTTGGTTTGCAATAAACAATGTGTTATGCGATCCTGTAGTAATGTCACTTATTTATTGATTAAGTAATATTAATATGAATATAACATGGCATAGCTGTGTGGAGTAGTATTACAACTAATTGCCAAGCAATCCCTTTGGTTGTTTTTCCTCTCAGCAGATGCAAGATGGAATTTTGTCGCCCACAGCAAGGCCTAAGTTTCAATGGCAATGTGGCCGAAAACTGGCGCAGATTCAAGCAGGTGTTCCAGATTTATATGAAAGCTTCAGGATATGCTTCAAAATATTCAGATGTGAAAGTTGCTTTATTTTTAAATGCCACTAGTGAGAAAGCAGTTGAAGTGTTCAATCTTTCAACAGGAGATCAGGGCAACTATGAAAAAGTGCTTGAAAGTTTGAAGCTTTCGCGACGCCTAGAACAAATGTCATGGTAAAGAGATTTTTATTCAATAAGAGAAAACAAGAAGAAATTTTTTATTGTTTTATGACTGACCTGAAAAAACTGGTAAAATGTTGCAAATTTGGTGAGCAGAGTGACTGTTGTACGTGATCGCAGTTGTATGTGTCCTTGGAGTATCTGATACCAGTTTACAGGAGAGGATGCTGCGAGAAAATAATCTGAGTTTGGAGAAAGCAATTGATTTAGGAAAAGCTGCTGAATTGAGCAAAGCTTGTGCTCAAACGTTAAGAGAACATAATGTTGACAGCATAACTTGAGGGAAAGTGAAGCACCATCAGGCAGGAGGAGCCAATGTAGCCGTAGCAGTGAGGAAGCACAGAGGATGGTGTGATTACACTTCAAATACTGAGATGTTTTTGTGTAAATGCAACAGACATTATATTAATGGACAATGTCTGGCATATGGGAAAAAAATGCTTTAATTGTGGCAAACTTAAATCACTTTTCGAACTATGTGCAGACTGAAACACATCCAAAATGTTTCTCAGCATAATAACAGATGTATATAGTGGAATCTGATGATGAATTCTTCGTGAATTCCATAAATGATCCAAAAACTAAAAGTGTATGCTCAACATCGTCTACAAAAGAGTGGACTAAAACTATAATTGTTGAAGGGACAAGTGTGACCTTTTAAGTTGGACAGGGTCTGAAGTGAATGTTTTGCCTGTGAAAATTTATGAAACACTGAATGAGTGCTAAGAACTCTTAATCTTATTGTAAACAAGTGTAATGTTGTATTAGAAGCATTTGGGGGGGAGAGGTCCAAGGTTAAACCTGATGGGTCGTTAATGTTACAATGTTCCTCAGGTGGTGAGGATCATCCTACTCTTAGAGTTTTTAATTGTTTCTAGCAAGCATATATGTCCATTATTAGGAACTTTGATGCATGTGTTAAACTTAATTTGATTCAGCTTTTATAAATAAGGTTGGAATATCAAATAAAGGTAAGTTGGATCAGTATACAATTGTTTACCTCCATCTAAAGATCAATTTATTATTAATAATTCAGAAGTGTTTGAAGGTGCAGGGGAAAATTTAATGGATTTTGTAAAATCACATAGTAGATGATCGGATCTCCTGATAGGTCTCCTGTAGTGAGACCACCACGTAGAGCACCACTTAGTTTAAAACCTAAACTTGAATTAAAATTAAACAAATTAGAGAGACAGGGCATTATTGCAAAAGTTGATCAACCTTTGAACTGGGTTAGCAATCTAGTAATTGAAAAAGCTAATGTATCCTTAAGAATATGAATTGAACCTCAAGATCTTAACAAAGCTATAAAAAGAGAACATGTGTTGATTCCAGCAATTGAGGAGATTTTACCAAAGCTATGTAATAAATCAGTTTACTTTGGACTTAGAGGATGGGTTTTTTTCAAATAGCGTTAGATGGGGACAGTAGTGATTTTTGTACTTTCAGCACACAATTTGGATGCTATAAATTCTTAAGGCTTCCAATGGGTATTTCCTGTGCACCTGAAATTTTTCAGAAATGCAATCTTGAAAATTTTGGTAATATACCAGGAGTATTGATCTATTTTGATGGCATCCTCATTGCTGCTAGCACCATACAAGAACATGATAAAATTTTAACAGAGGTCATCAACAGAGCTAAAAACTCAATATTAAATTCAACAAGCAAAAACTTCAATGTAGGGTCAGTGACGTTAAATAGTTAGATCATTTATTTAATGTATCTGGCATGCAACCTGATCTTGATCAAATTAAAGCCATTACTGAGTTGCAGGAACCTCAGAATAAGCATGAATTACAGCGTGTTTTGGGAAAGTGTAATTATTTGAGGAAATTTGTACCACATGTTTCACAGAAAATAGCCATATTAAGGGAATTTTTGAAAAGCAAAGTAGAATGCCAGTGGTTACAGCCACATTCTAAAGCATTCACGGAATTATTCATTCTAAAGTATTAAAAATTAATTTGCAACGTACCTCCGTTAGGAATATTTGATAGCAGTAAACCTATCACTATACAGGCAGATAGTTGTAAAGATGGGTTAGGTTGCTGCTTATTGCAGAATGGGCAACCAATTGCTTTTTGTCTAGGAGTAAGTAATGCAGAAAAAACTATGCTCAGATTGAGAAAGAATTTCTTAGTATTTTATTTGCTGTTAATAAATTTCACTATTACATTTATGGTACAGAGGTAAAAGTGCTTACTGATCATAAACCATTAGTTTCAATTAAGAACAAAAATATTGCTAATGTGTTGTCAAATAGATTGCAAAGGATAAAAATTAAGCTCTTAAAATATAACTTAAAACTTAAATATTTGCCTGGGAAATATAGGTATATTGCAGATTTACTGTCACATTCCTTTATTGAAACACATGCAAATGAAAACAAGGATATGACAGAGATTGTTCAGACACTAACAAAACAACGTCAAATGTCTGAGAGTAAGAAAAGGAAATTTCAGAAAGCTACATTGAATATTGGCAAAAGGGATGGCCTTTGAGTACTGATAAAGTTTCTAAAGAAGCAAGATCTTATTTTAAATTTAAAAATGAGTTGAGTGTTGAACAAATTTAGTTTTCTTAAATCGAATTGTACCTGTTGCAAAGGAAGTGTATGTTAACATTAATGCAGAAGCTCACTGTGGGAGTGAAAAATCAAAAGCTAGGACTTGACAAGTACTATTTTGGCCAGGAATCATCAGTGACATTGAGAATATGATTTCTAAATGCCTAATTTGTGATGGGTTCAGGCCTCAAACAGTAAAAGAACCTCTTGTTTGTCATGAAATTCCCAGTTTACCTTATGAAAAGGTTGGTACTGATATCTCTGAGTATGCTGGGAAAAGTTTTCTAGTAATAGGCTGTTACTTAACTAAATGGGTAGACAAAATTCCTCTAAAAAATAAAAAGGCAGAGGAAGTTACTAGTAAACTGAATCAATATTTGCAACACATGGAATACCCACAACTTTAATTTGTGATAATGTACCATTTAATAGTTGGAAAATAGAGTTTCGCAAGGGATTGGGGATTTGAAATAATCACTAGTGGTCTTCGATATCCTAAATATAATGGATTTGCAGAAAAGTTAGTAGATACAGCTAAGAGTTTATTTAGAAAAGCAGGATTGGAGAAATTAAATGAAGCTTTACTGGAATATAGAAATACTCCAATTTCAGGTATAAATTTATCATCAAGTAAAATGCTATAAGTA